CAAAATGAAGCGGTTCGGCCCCAAAATGGAGGTTTCTGGCCTCAAAATGGGGGAGCCCCGCCCCTCCCCCTTCTTCTCACGCGGCCCCAAAATGGCGGTTTCCCGCCGCGCCTGAGGGAATGCGGATTTTCAGCCCCAAAATAACTCCTTTTACCAGAAAAAAAAAATAAATTTCCATCACCTAAACCCCCTTTCGCGAAATTCGGCCCCAAAATAGCTATTTTTTTGCCTCCATTAGGGAATTTTTCAGTCAGAAAACGAGGGTGTTAGCCCTAAATTGGGGTGATTCGCCCCAAAATAAGGGCTTTCATACACGCCCTCTCCTTCTCCAAGCGAGAATTTTAAGTTAAAAAGATGCTTTTTTTTTTTAAACCTCAAAACCGCGGCGACCCGCCCTTCCCCGGCGTGTTCAGCCCCACAATGGCGATTTTTGCCCCCAAAAAGGGTTTTATATCCCGCAATAAGGTATTTTGGCTACAAAACAAGCGCTTCCCGCTCTCAGAATTTGGGGTTTATGCCTCCAAAATAAAGATTTCTGCCTCCAAATCGGGGCGTGCCGCCCACCGCGTGTTCGGCCCCAAAATGAGGGTTTTCTGCCTCAAAAGTGGGTTTTTTTCAGCCCCAAAATAGGGGCGTGCCGCCTCTCAGGAAGACCTATTGGCTCCAAACTGGATGATTTTTGCCCCAAAAATGGGGTATTTGTGCCCCAAAATAGGGTTTTCCTTTTTCCAGATGTAAAATAGGGATTGGGGGGTTAAAAATAAAGGTTTTAAAGCCCCAAAATAGAGGAGTTTGGCCTCAGATTGGGATTTCCGGCCCTAAGATGGAGGTTTTTTGGCCTCAGCGTAAGAGCTTTGTTCCCTGAAATGGCGTTTTCAGACCCAAAATGGGGGATTTTGTGTCCCCCCACAGAATTTCAGACCATCAGATTTTTAGACCTAAAGTAGGATTTTTTTACCCCAAAATGGGATTTTTTCAGCATTAAAATGTGGATTTTTTTCTGCCCCCAGAAGAATTTTCCAGCCCCAAAATGGAGGTTTTCAGCTTCAGAGTAAGATCTTTGTTCCCTGAATTACCACTTTTGGACCCCCAGATCCCTCTTTTCAGCCCTAGAACAGGGTTCTGAGGGCCCAAAAGGAACTTTTGAACCCAAAATTCGTTTTTTTTTTTAGTTCATGTGGATTTTTTTCACAGCTAAAACTGGGGGTTTCGGGCCCAAAATGGAGGTTTCCAGCCCCAAAATGGAGGTCCCGAGCTCAAGAATAGGATCTTTGTGCTCCCAAATGCCTTTTTTCTGCTGCAAATTAAGGGAGTTTTTATCAAAAATTAATTTTCTTGACCCCAAAAAGGGACTTTTTGCTGCACAATGGCAGTTTTGGTCCCCAAATGGCTATTTTTGGCCCCAGAATAGGCTTTTACTTTGCCGGAATAGTTTTTTTCTGCACAATAGGATTTTCCCGCCCCTAAAGATTTTTTTCAGCCCCAAAAAGATTTTTTAGTACCAAAATGGGGGTTTCGGCACCCAAACGGCAATTTTTGTCTCAAAAAGGACGTTTTTGGCCTCAGAATAGGATCTTTGTTTCTCCAAATGGGAGTTTTCAGCCCCCAAAATGGAGGTTTTCAGCCCTAGAATAGGATCTTTGTTCTCAAAAATGCCTATGAAGAGGTTTTTGGGCACCGAAAAAGCATTTTTCTCCCCCGAAATGGTGTTTCTAGCCCCATAATAGTGATTTTTAGCCTCAAACCAGGATCATCCTACTGCAGAATTACTATTTTTCTGCAGCACCACCGTAGAGGCTTTTTGTTCCAAAACCGCGCATTTCAGCGCTGAAACAGATTTTCAGCCCCAAATTGGTCCCCCCCCCCCAAATGAACTTTTTAATACCAAATTAATTTTTTTAGCCAGAAACCCCCTTTTTTTTCTGCTGAGACACAGGATTTATTCAGAAAAATGATAATTACCCGACTCCAAAAAATCAACGATTTTAAATGCAGGTTCCCAGTCTCTGGAATGATGCTTTTTAACTTAAATTGGCGTTTTTAACCCATTCCTTCACTTTCAGCCTCAAATTGGGGTGGTTTGGCCTCTTTTCACCCGCAGGGCGTGGCCCAGTCCCCCTCCCCCCATGACCTTGGGGGGACCCCTCCCCCACCCTTTGTTCCCAGCC